TTCCTTGATTTCAAGAATGCGCTCGATTCAGTCGATCGATGCATTCTGTTCGAAATACTTTCGCGGAAAGGTGTTCCCACGAAATATGTGAACATCCTACGTGCTCTATACTCGAACACTACAGGCCGCGTCAAAGTCTACGGTGGCCTATCGGATAGCTTTCGGACCACAAGTTACGTTCGTCAGGGTTGTCCGATTTCCCCATTTTTGTTCAATTTCGTGGTGGATTCTATCATGGAGTATTCCCTTGCGGAATCTCACGATATAGGCGTTGACGTGCTGCCTGGTGAAGGATTAGTTGACCTAGATTATGCGGACGATATCGTCATGCTTTTCGACGATGTTGGGGCGGCACAATCAACCCTTGATAGCCTATCCAGAGTGGTCCCATTATTTGGTATGCACTTCGCACCTTCAAAGTGCAAAGTGTTGCTGCAGGACCACCAGCCACTTTATGACCCCTTGACTTTTGCTAACGAGGAGCTCGAGGTGGTTGATCAATTCACTTATCTTGGCAGCTGCATCAGCAACGATGGGCGCATAGATACTGACGTCAGCTCACGCGTTGCAAAAGCCAGAGCTTTCTTCTTGAACCTTCGGCATCTTTGGCGACAGAAGGGAGTTTCCCTTCGTCTGAAAAGCTGTATATACAAGATCACAGTGAGGGCCGTTCTGCTGTATGGTAGTGAGACTTGGCCCGTTCGGTCTGAAGATCTGAGGCGCCTTCAAGTATTTGATCATCGTTGTCTGCGAAGCATGGCTTGTGTCGGATGGCACCAGCGTGTCCGCAACGATGTTGTCCGTAGACAAGTACTTGGTAGTGATAAACATGCTAACTCTCTAGAACAGCAAATGGCACTGAATAGGTTGCGTTGTTTTGGGCACGTACTACATATGTCCGGTCACCGCTTACCGAGGAGGGCCGTTTTGTGTGCCAGATGTAGGGTGGCACAAAGCTCGAGGTGGACAGAAGTTGACTTGGCAGCGGGAAATGAAGTCACTGACAACCAAATTGGGTGCCGTTGGTCCGTCTCGTCTTCCGGGCTGGAGTCCACGTGACTCGCCTTGTGCTTGGCTCGGGACTTTGCAGGAGATGGTTCGCAACCGACACCAGTGGTGCGTCTGCTGCCGTCTCCTAATCGGATTCCCTGTTTAAGGTGTATTTGGTGCTGAGTTATCTGCGGGATAATGGCTGATTTTGACGCGGGGCAGTGAAAGCCGTAAGGAAGTTGTCTCGCCGTTGCCGCCTCATTTTTGCACGATGGCCAGCTTGTCTACACAAGGTGTAGGCGCCTTGGCCCTGAATGTTTGCTTAGGGCATTTAGGTTTTCAGTTAAGTCCCCCTTCTCTCCCTCTTCTTATTCTTTATTCCATAGGTCATCGTAGTTGTATAGCAGCGAAGCGTCAGCTCAAACGGCTGATGTACGGCTGCTGTTGTTGAGTGATTAACTGAGGTCCTCTGTAAAGCATTGACCTCCCTGTTCGAATTTGCATGGAAGGAGACTTTACCAGTTAATTGGAGTGATACGATTATCAAGTAGGTCAGTCGCACAGACTCTGCTAACCACAGAGATATTAGCCTGACACCGGTGGTGCCAAATTTACTGGTCTCAGTTCTCGTTCGTCGCCTCACTGCGGAACGGGAATTCCGGATTAGGGAAGAACAAGCATGTTTCCGCCCAGGACGTAACTGTATAGGTCACATATTCACTCTGCGGCAAGTGCTAGAGCAGCGCCACGCATATCGCAGACCAACAATAGCTGTGTTCCTCGACTTCAAGAGTGCTTTCTAATCTGTCGATCGATACATTCTGTTCGAGCTACTTTCGCGGAAAGATCTTCTTATGAACTATATGGAAATCTTACGTGCTCTGTACTCGAACACTACTGCCTGCGTCAGAGTCTACGGTGATTTATCGGATAGCTTTCCGACCATGTGTCCTTCGTCAGGGTTGTTCAGTTACCCCAATTTTGCTCATTTTCATCGTGTACTCCATCATGGAATTTTCCCTTGCGGGGTCTCGCGATGCTGGCGTTGTGGTGCTGCCTGCTGATAGGCTAGTTGATGTTAATTTTGTGGACGATGTCGACTTGCTGCCTAACGATGTTGGTTTAGCCCAATCAACCCTGAATAGCCTCTCTAAAGTGGTCCCATTATTTTGTATGCGCTTCGCACCTTCAGTGCTGGACCACTAGCCATTTGATGACCGCTTGACTCTAGATAAGGAGGAACTCGAGGTAGTTGATTGATTCGCTTACCTTGGCAGCTGCATCAGCAACGATGGGCTCGTAGCAACTGAAGTCAATTCACCTGTTGCAAAAACCAGAACTGCCTTCTTGAATGTTCGACATTTGTGACGTCAGAAATGGGTTTCCCTTCGTCTAAAAAGCTGCGTTAGCAGGCCACAGTGAGGTCCGTCCTAATCTATTACAGTGAGACTTATCGCCTTCGGTCTAGAGATCTGAGGCGCCCTCAAGCCTTTGCTCGTCGCTGTGTGCGGAGCATTGCTGGGGTCGGGTGGCACCAGCGTGTGCGCAGCGTTGATATGCGTAGGCATTGATACCCATGCTAGTTCCTTAGAACAACAGACAGCACTGAATAGGTTGCGTTGTTTTGGGCACGTACTACGTATGTCCGGTCACCGCTTACCGAGGAGGGCCGTTTTGCCTGCCAAATGTAGGGTGGCATAAAGCTCGAGGTGGACAAATCTTGACTTGACAGCGGGAAATAAAGTCACTGATGATCAAACTTGGTGCTTTCGGTCCGTCCCGTCTTCCGGCCTGGAGTCCACGTAACTCGCCTTGTGCTTGGCTAGAGACTGCAGGACATAACTCGCAGTCGGCACCAGTGGCGCTACTGCTGCCCGTCTCCTAGTTTCACTGCTTGTTTAACATGTGTTGAGTTATCTGCGGGGTAATGGCTGATTATGACGCTGGACAGTGAAAGCCGTAAGGAAGCTGTCTCGCCGATACCACCTTATTTTTGCACGATAGCCAGCTGTTTGTGATGGCATGTTGTTGACAAGGTGTAGGCATCCTTACCCTGAATGTTTTCTTAGAGCATTAAGGTTTTCCGCCAAGTCCCTATTCTTTCCTTCTTATTCTCTTTAGTTTCGTAGATCGTCATGACTTTATGGCAGTTCAAATGGCTGATGTCTGTTACTTTCCTGCAGTAACATTCCGGCAGAAAGTAAGATTGGCGGTCGCTGATGAATAATGTGAATGAGTCAGCTATTGATTAAAGTCCCGTCAAACGCGCGATCAGGAACGCTTTAGAGATCTTGAGGTTTCCGAATAGTGGATGGATCTCTCAGGTGTTTGTTACTTCTGAAGCACAGAAGATAACCTTCCTGGTTGATCATTTCCATTTTCCACGGCAGCAATGTCTCACCAATATTCTCGGAATCGGTTGTGGATATGAGTTACTAACAGACACCAGTGAGCTGGATGATATTGCCATTGGATTCATCTGAAACGCTGATCTAGCAATTTTATAATTCGATGAACACGTTTGGCTGGATACACTGGTTGACAGGGCAAAGAGCTGGCCTCCATGGTGTTTGGGTTGTGAGTTTCTTTGATCCTCCTCATCCCACTTATCTTCCATCACCAACCACGATCTCTCTGTTGACGCATGCCATGTTACCAAGTAGTCTGTTGCCGACTTTTTAGCATCCTATAATTTTCAGCATCTTGCTTTTTTCGTTTGTATTATCTCTATGTATTATTGCGGCACAATAGTTGAAGTGTGTTTCTCACCTTCAGTTTGTGTGTACTGATGGTGATGATGATGAGTTTTATGGTTCATTCATTCTCAGCGTCGCCTCTTGGTGTATTTCAAAAGGCTTATTTCTGCACCTTTTCTTGAATCACGGGAACCCACTTGGTATGTTGACGCCTCGCCCGCTATCTCCTAGAGAATTCGATATTAGCTGATGCTGTTGAAATGTGTGATCTGTTTTTAATGAAACTTCAACTGGTGTTATTTAAAGAATCTTGGGATGTTAGCCCTCTTGCCACCACTTCGTCATTTTCAGTACTTCTATAATGTCGCTTCTGTGGGTGTGTGCCGATTTATGGGACAATATCTACACAGTACACCTTCGCATATCGGATACGTCATGGTCACTCTACCTCTTCCTTTCTCTTTGGTTTTGTTTCTCATATCCGTCTCCTCTGAGTCATAGGTTCGATCAAGTAATGAACTGATACTCGCGGACGATAGATCGCTTTCGGGATCGAACATAACCTCTGTGTAGTCTCTTTTGGACAGACGAACGCAAAGCGCTACGGGCTTCCAAGTTTACTTCGTATCTTCAGGGTGTATGGGGCTACCGTAAGATTGCACCGACTTGTCATCGTTTATCCACAACGCCCACAGTGATTAACGGATCGGTTTTCTCACCACACCTTCATCGCATCACCATTTTGGCTACCGGGCCACGACTGGCAACACTTGTGACAAGCGTTACTCATCGTGGTTCGGTTGCATAAGGGTAGAGGTTTCGGCTACTATCCCAATAGTCCTTAGTTCAATGGCTGCCATCTCCATTTGATGAGATGAAATAACATCGAAACGCATCATGGAGTGCAGTGTTTTCAGGTGTGCGACACCCAGTTTCCTTCTGCTTTATAAGCTACGGTCCTAGTGGTCGTATGACCAATGTTCGATTCAATGGGAATCACGATCCACTTTGAGATTGCGCTTCGCAATCCATCCGCCCAACGTGGACTTCACAATGATCCTCAGTCAGTCATTAACCTTTGTGCCATGAGTTGCCCGTGGTGACCCGGTGGCTTTGGGGTAGCAGTCACAACTAACATCCAGATGGTCCCGGGTTTGAGGCCTGCTATCTCCACCTGATGAGGTCAAACAACTTCGAAACTATTCGTGAAGTGCAGTGTTTTCGAGGCGAGTAACACGCAATTTTCATTTGCAATTCACTTTCACTGTGGTTGTGCATTCATTTTATACATGTCTCCTCCTCTGGTTCCTTCAGATCACACATCAGATGCGGAGCTGAAGATTACCTCTTGCAACTGGAACCTCCTCCAGCTCCCCGCATTGAAGCAATCATTGAGGTGAGTCTGGGTCTTTGTTCGGAGCGCTTTCTCTTTTCACCGCTAGCCATTTCACTGAGTTGTCTTGGCATTCTGTGTATACGTGCTTTCCACTCTCTCCTTGCGTTTCCATCACAGCATTCAAATGGGATGTTCACGTGGAAGCCGGTCTCGGAACCGTTTCAATGCACCATAACTTCATTCCGAAAGGATTCCAAGATGAAAGGGATGAAAAGTTTCATCGCCTATCAACTCACTTCCCCGGTATGTTGTGGCCTCTATCTCATTAGCTGTCCACCTTTTCACCACCCAGACCACAGCTCTCTGATCTCGTTTTTCTTCGCACTTCTGTTGGGCGTGAGGGAAGAAGATAGGTTGAATAAGCATCGGATTAATGTGCTGGCTTGTGTACGAGAAGGGTTTGGGTTAGCAGTTTCATTTAGGCACCTTCATTTTTGTGTCCCCCTGGACATTTCGTGTCTGAAAGCTATTACTTTTCCATCGTGACTAGACTGGACCTTAACGTGATGCGATGATTTGTGTGCCTCAGTGATGCTTTTTGCACCTTCAGTGCTACTCATACCATATTGGTCAATGGTTAGAGAGGCCCGACAAGCTCAGTCTCCTGGCTCTCCAGGTTGGAGGTTGGAATGTGGGTTGCTCCTTAACCCATAAAACGGACTCCCTGTAGCCCAATGCCAAAACTTCGCTGCCTCGCGGTTTGGTTTTCCTGTCCAGGCCCGGACAACCTGGGAGTATCTTACCGACGCAATACACCATGCTTTCTCTTTCTAGTAATTTCTTGATGCTATGGCCGTCGTAGAGGATAATCAAAGGAGCCCTATTTCCTACACCAAGTAGGGTGCATAGGGGTTTGGATGCTACTCAAGCCTTCTCGTCTTCTTCTTCCCCCTCTTGCACTTTTTCTTCCTTATCGTCCCGCAGTGAGGCTGGACCTTACCGTGGTGCGATGGTTTGTGTGCCTCAGCGATCCATTGAGCTATGCTGGGTGGTGCTTTTGCACTTTCAGAGTCACTCACACCAGATTGGTCAATGGTTAGCGGCCAGACAAACTCAGCCTCCTGGTTTTCCAGGTTGGGGGTTGGAATGAGGGTGGCTCCTTATTCCTTAAAACGGACTCCTTGTAGCCCAACGCCAAACCCGCTGCCTTGCGGTAAGGTTTTTGAACCAAAGGCTTTGGTTGAGAACCCTTATCGTGCTCCTGTCTAAGCCTGGGCAACCTGACAGGATCCTGCCCACGCAATACCATGAATTTCTCTTCAAACAGTTTCTTGATGCTCTGGCCACTGCAGAGAATAATAAACGGCGCTCTATCTGCTGCATCGGGCAGGGTGGATAGGGGTTTGGATGCTGCTGCTCAAGCCTTCCTGTCTTCTTATTCCTCCTCTTACGCTTTTTCACTCTTACCTTCCCGTTCCAACCACTTTTCTCCCCCCAGTTTTCAACCCCCCGATATTTGACCCTCCTTCAACATGCTTTGCTAGGCGTTTATCTAATTTCAACTCACATGCTGGCGCGGAGCGTCACTCCTCTCCTGTCGATAAGCCCATGTCCAACCAAGCGGTCCATTCCAGTTCATCGGCTTCTATTTGGAGCCCTCGATCCTCCTTCAGATTGACATGCCTCAATGTACGCACATTACTACACATCGGTCAACAGGCAGCACTTGCCCGAACATTAGAGACCCTGTCGACCGATATCTGCTGGTTATCGGAGACCCGCCTGCAAGACTCGAGCTCAGTGCTCACTCTGCGATCCCCTTCAGGTGACGCAAGCAGTATTTTCTCATTGCGCCTATCCGGTGACGATGTAGCTTCGAGCACCGGCCAAGCTGGTGTTGGCATTGCCCTGAGTCCCCGGGCTGAAGCTGCTCTGGTTGATTGGATTCCAATCAGTAGCCAGATGTGTGCGGTCCGTTTGGCTGGCTCGTTCAATGCTTCGAAGTCGCGCGGGACTAATAAGTGTCTATGCATCATTGCTGTCTACGCGCCCACAAACTAGCGATGATTCGGTAAAGAACGACTTCTACCGCCTACTGACCCAGCTCTTTCGCCACAGAAGAAGCACGGACACTGTTGTGCTGGCGGGGGATCTGAACGCACAAGTTGAAAAGTTGTCCACTGATGAAATGCATCTGGGCGGTCGGCACGGTTTAGGCTCCCGTAATGATAATTGTGAGCGGTTACTTCATTTGTGTGAAGATGCCCGCTTATTTCTTGCGAGCACTAAGTTCCGACACAGCACCAGCCGGAGGGGGATTTGGCGCCCACCAGCCTTGGACGCAGATCGATCACATTGCTATCAGTTACCGCTGGATAGGCTGCATCCAGAACCGTCGCTTAATTTTTAGCACAAGTGTGGACACTGATCATGCACTTGTATGTGCTGACTTGCGGATATGTTTTGGTGGACGCCCACGACGACGCTGTGAGCCCATTGACACCAT